ATCGTGTGCGGTTTTGTGTGGTTATGTTATGCGTGGTTCGCAAGCAATTGTGATGAATATAAATGCAACATTTGACTATTCTGACACTGTTTCACTGCTTTTTATACAGATACAGTGCTTTTTTCGGTGTACACTCTCTTGAGACTGGTTAGCAATTATGGCGGTTATCAATGACTACTATCCCGTGGGTCCCAACGCATTCCTTGAGTTGTGGTTATACGTACAGAATTTTGTACTTCAATATTTCTCACTCACATAGTCTGGTATCCTGTGTTTCTTGCGAGTTAACTGTGACAAGCTGTCAGCAATGTGCTCCGTTAATAAGCCCTTTTTCTAGAATTTCATCGCACTTAATCAATTCCAGCGGAAGCAGCACATATGTAAGAAGCCGCGAACGCATTAAAAGACTTTCAAAAGGTGAGGAACTTATATATTGCTAACAGTGACAACCTTTTAAACATACCAGTATGTGGCTACGTTCACATGAAGAGGAGAAATCGAAGACATTGTATAATAATATAACTTTGTGGAACTTTCTTCTAGCCTGTATATTTCGCTCTAATATTTTTGCGCCTCAGACCACTAACAAAGTATTGTCAAATGTATTATTGTAGTGTGATTCGATGGCACAATTACTGGCAGTTAATAATATTATGTGTGCGTAATATTCATGATATTTTCTGCGCCATTATTGTGCTCCACATTTCAAAAGAAGTGTAAACTATGATAACTGAATTTGTTGAATACTTTAGTCACATGTGGCTGTCAAGGAACTTAGCCCTAAGTTCCTATTGTAACGAGGACGTTTGGAACCGATAAAGACTGTGTATTTCTTTCAACTTTAAATCCAAAACACCAATATTCCTTGAAGGAAATTATATTGTTTGGCAATTAGAGTGAAGACAACTACAAAGTCTACAGACAAATGTTTAGTACAAATGAAGTTATAAAGTACTTTTATGCTTATTCCTTCCGCCCTTCTCCAACTTGCAAGCGATCGAACCATTCGCGCCTTCGAGTTGCCCACCAATGGCTGCCAGTTCCAATAAACAAACTTTCAATGTTCACGTCCATTGACAGTTGCCATGCATGATAATTATGTGAATGCTTAATTTGTGTAAGTGAATTCAATCTGAATCACTTTTAGGAATGTCGAGTCGTAGTGAGACCTGTCAGTTAATTAAATTCAGTGGAAGCAGATGCAGTCGCATTTGCACAAAGATATTCGAAAAGCACTGACGAGTCTTTTACGACTTATGACCAGATACATTTGCATAATCAGTTGTAGGAATTGATTCTACATACGACAGCAAGTGAAGGTAAGTTCGCTCATTCACTTATAACTTTGCAGATATTATTTTTTCCAGTTCGTAATACCGGATAACTTCGGATGTGAGCATACAGTTCTGTTTACTTGAATTACGAAGAATTTAAAGGTGACGCGATTTGGACACTGGCAAGTTTCCGTCGAATAATGGGAGATACTTCCCAAACGAAGACTTTCGTCTCTGACTGGACACAGCCCATACATGTTAATAAACTTGTTTGCGTTGCAGCGAAATAAAATTTTCTATCCAATATCCTCGTGTTCTATGTGATATACTTGCAGTGGGAGTACTGCATGCCAGACCAGTACTCTCTAGGAAATAAACTCGTTACTATACGTAAGTGTAATTCTGTAGGAACACTATCGATCGGTATAAGTGGTGAATTATAAGTACTTTAGTCAAGCCCAAACATCTGCATAAAGTCACACGAGTACGTCTCCTAGTCATAGGTAAACCTTTAGGGACCAATGACAAAAATACCTAACTTCAGTATTTGAAAGATAAGAATAAAAATCGGGCACTGCAGTTCAGTTCGATGTCGTTTAAGGTTAAGTGTATTAAAATGTTGTGCATTACTATTATTTCACTTAAAGCGTAATGTCAATCCATATGACTACGGGTCTTAGCGTATAGTGTAAAATGAGGTCCACACGAGACGAGTAGTTCGATAGGTTGAGCTGTAGCAGTCGTAGTAAGATTTCGCCTACGTTGAATTATGCCAGGTCCCGTTGATAAGTCAGGCCTACACCTCGTCATGATGGCAAATTTAATTTCACTCAAATAGAACAAGAAAAGTATGGTAAACAGGATGTTAAATATATTTAATGAAAAATAATGAGCAAATGTCTCTACACAATTGTCTTTCGTAAATATTTCGGTGATGTCGAATTGCTGTGACGAGGTTGACTGACGTCAACAGGCATCTGAAAATAAGTGAATAAAGTGTATTTTTAAATCTCTGAAGTTAGAAAAAAGTAATGAAAAAGTGAAACGCTTTATATTTGCCTAACTATGCTGAAAAAGGTTCATTCTCCTTTCTCAATCTTTAGTCATGACAGCATCCTTCTGTGGTTTTCACTGTCACATACATTAATCATCTTCTAAAGTAAAGCACCAAGCAAATAATAATTTAGTATATCGTATAGACGGGTTTTTACAGGGAATGCATGCCATTTTCACAGGCGCAATAAGTTATGCAATAAATTGCAGCCTTGAAGTATCATAAATTAATACTTTTTCAAAAGTTTAGTTTGTTCAATTATTGTACAAGCAGTCAGAACAGGTTATCATAAGTGTTAAATTGCAAACTCTTCACAATGAACACCGTATATTTGGGTTAGTGCTATGCCCTCACGTAATTAAATGCTACTTCATGAGGAGAATAACGTCCTGAGAAACTGCAAAATGGCATAAAATACAATTGTCGATAATGCGTCAATGAAAGTCCACCTACAAGATACATGCGGCAGGTAGCTATAGAGTCCTTGGAATGGTGGTATACATTTGCGATGTTTAACGCTAACCATATCGGTGCAAGCATGGAAACTATGACGTTTTCGATGAAAAACCAGCTTTGTTTAAACACTGGTGTTGTTGTGCCTTTATTCAAAGCAACAAGACTTTAAGCAAGCAACTAATAGGCACAAAGAGTAAGTCTCAGATTTAATAAAGGCCTATCTAGTTAAGATAAAATGGGGTGTAATAGTGCGTAAATAAAAAGACTATCGTGATGTAGATCTGCAGGCTTAGAATTCGTAAGAGAGCCTGACATGTAAGATCTCTCAGGAATTTCCGTAGGGCGTTTTTGGTGTCATTCTGAACTTTGGAAAGATGATTTGCAAATGTAAAAGGTAATAATCATCGAAACTGCAGTAGTATTTTCCAGCCGTTCGGAATTTTTTCCTTTGATGCAGTTTCTTATCAACAGTTTGCAGTATTCAGAGTGAGTTCATAGGAAACTTTATTCTATCTTCACTTTCACCAACTATCCCTTCACGCACTATAGCATGCAGTAACTACACACACTCAAGCATTGTAACCTGAACATCACAAAATCCCTACAGATAACTTGTTTAATAATAAATGCTTTAAAGATATGAGCCATAAGTGCACCTTCTATATCCTTCGTAGCCACAATAATTCATTAAGGATCTCAGAATATTTTATTGATCTGAAAATGAATAATTCTTAAGACTGACATAACTTAAGTAACAGGTGTAGTAGTTGTAGAACACAGCCGCTAGCTACTTTTACACAGAAAGCTGACACTAATTTTAAGCAGTCTGACATTTTAGAAGGACCATCTATACTATTCTTCTTGCCCCAGTGCACATTGATTTTAACTAGGAAATTCATCGAAATGGATAAAACCAACAGGAAATTCACCAGCTTGTCTCATTAATCGCGTGATCTCTTCGATGTCGTATGGAATATTTTAAGCATCATGGATGATAATAAAAGTGTTTAACATTCTCAGAACGTACATCTAACTTATGGCTGTGGGTTATTCCTCTTTCAAATGCCCTATTCTCATAGAATAAATGCTATGAAAACAACCATCGCCTGTAGTCAATTTACAACCCTTAAGATCTACAACAACTCGCAAATAACAAAGCTTTAAGGCTCTAAAACGCAAATAATAGTCCTTTTACGCGAAATTTCTAATAAGTAATAAGTCGTCTGGTATATCAAGACGATTTTACCCATTAATACGAACACAATACGGGAAAATATTGCTTCTTTCGGCTACAGAAGCTTAAAACTATTCAAATGTAATCTATTTTTACAAAACTGAACGATTATAACGCCTTTACAGGCGTGAACGCGATACTGTGCGCGAAAATATATCACGACAACGCTTATCCTCACCCAAATGGTATACTGAAAGACATTCAAAAATGAGGGCAAATACAGAGTGTTCTTCAGATACGTTAATTTTTGGTCCAAACAAAATGCTGTCAAGTACACTGGAAGTAATGTGCGCTGTGAAAAATTAGGTGGCTGAATAAATGAAGCGGGCTGACGACACTCTGCTAAAGTCTAACATACATGACAGCTCTATGGGGGTGCAGCTTTGACGTCTACGAGCTTGCGTTTTCGTTGTAAGTGTCGTGGCCAAATACCCAGGCACTTGCGATGAAATTTGTCTCAAGAAACAGCTTACCAGATTTCGACGGTGGTTTATCAAACAGTGCGACAATAAATTTATTTCCTTTTATGAATTTGAAAAGGGCGAGAACAACAGCTTTTGCAGAATAATATGGTACCATCATCTATTTCTTTGGTTTCTCATCAGCTGCTTACCGCCCAAATAAATTTTTAAGTTTATACACAGAAAGATTTCAGCATACTTGCAAATTTTGCATGATGTCAGTTTGTAGGAGGTTCTGGAATTGGTGAATAGTCCCCATAACGTTACACTTGTATAGTTTTTTCACTCAGAGTTGAGGTTTAACCTAAACGAATGTATGTGTACAATGGTAAAGGAGTTTCACAATAAGAACGAGAGATGTGTATGATTATGAGTAAATAATAAATTTCTCAATCTGCTATTTTAGTGCATCTATTGTTTAAGTATAATACCACGCACTGCTTTAGCAGTTCCTTAGTCTCTGAAGTTCTTTGGTTTATTATTTGGCGATTCTCCGGTTCCTTTACACTAAATTATTCACAATGTACAGACGAAATAAACAAACATTCTCTGCAGGTAAGCATAGCTTTCTCGCCAAGCTAAAGAAGTATGCTTATCACTCAGTCTTTTATCTGGGCCCCCCAAAATGGCACTGTAGTGCGATGCAAAACCACTAACCGAATTAAAACTGACCTTATTTCCCCGTGTAATTCTTTCAGTGGAGTCAAAAATAAAATAGATGCCATTAAACGCTTAGTACCTCTTTTTTGCCTGACTCATGAAATTAATTCTGAAAGCCTGCTGAAGTCCGTGTGGTATAACCCATAGCAGCTGAGAATACTCACTTAATCTTGTCCTGTAAAAATGCCCACATATGCAACCTGTCAAAGAAAACGCTTTTTTTCAAGAGTGTTGCATGTCCTCTGTGAATTCTCAGTTAAGTAATTTGAAAATCTCCATTCAGTCATGTAAAAGAAAAGAAGGTGTTCAGCGAAGAGACTCTATTCGGCGAATTCATTCACTGAGCTGTACAATCGCATATTTATACAATTTTGTTTGTGTGTGTACGTTAGATTTATAAAGTTTAGATAATTATGTAATATAAGTATTTTTTGGCTTGGAGACAAACGTTAAGAAGGAAAGTAAAATAGAATTGATCAAGTGAATACAGTTGAGTAGAATTCAGATTAGGTCAGGCTGGCAACAATGTTGATGAGTGGTGTTTAAAATCAGATAAGGGTGGGCGTAGAGAATAATACAGTTGAAAATAAGTAAGTTAATCGGATGACGTAACACAGTTGACTAGAAATTGTACGTGGGTCAAGTTAGTAACATTGTTAATGAGGGCAGAGATTACAAAAGGGTGGGGTAGAGAATAAAATAAATGAAGATGTGAAATAATAAAATGCAAGAGACAAAATAATACAATTAGTAAGACTGAAATTAAGAAAGATTACGTCCATTGTAGATTTAATGAATGAACGAATTTCTTTTGTATGCAGAGTTCAGGATTTAGCAGATGAATTGCCATTGCTTCTGCTATGTGGAGAAGTTTGTTCCGTACACTTTTAGCGAGATTGCCTTGTATTCTGTAGATAACTTTGAAGTTTATTTGTGGTTTGACTTGGTGTCCAGAGTCGATCAAATGTTCAAGGATCGAGCTGCTGGGGCATCGATTTTCTCCTTTATAAAACCATGAAGGTAAATGTTCGTTGACGCGTTTGGATAGCGAACGCTGAGTACGGCCGATATACCTGGCTCCACACGAGTGATCTGACTTCAAACACCACTCATCAGCATTGTTGCCAACCTGACCTAATCTGAATTCTACTCGACTGTATTCACTTAATCAATTCTATTTTACTTTCCTTCTTAACGTTTGTCTCCAAGCCAAAAAATACTTATATTACATAATTATCTAAACTTTATAATTCTCAGTTAATCAGACCCTAAAGAATATCAGGTAAGTTCAGCCTCCCCGTGCAGTTTAAATCAAGTAGTTCTAAAGATGTAAGAGGATTTTTACTACCCACAAATGTATTGGTTCACCCACACCCTATAGTGACAATAAAGTGATACATGATCGAACGCCGCCTGTGTATCCAATATTCCGTAAGCCTATCTAGTTACAGAATATCTAAGTAAAGCAACTAGTCCCATAACTGTAGTCGAACTATCTGCAGAAGATGTACGCGAGACCAAAGCACTTGTCAATAATAATCTTTCTACTAATAAACGGAAAAATGAAGTAGCTGAAATCGGTGAGTTAGGCTTGTCATTAAAAATACACTCCATGCAAACACCACCCTTACCATCAACTGTTGGTCAGTCTTCTATCGACTCCATTGCCAGTATTGCGTAAAAAGCCAAGCGTGATTATTTAATTAAAAACAGTATGCATCTATTAGGCTTCCGGGTTGTTAGACATGCAAAACGAAGACATTTGACCCCTCTCTCCGAGAATATTTGCATCAAACCTCTCACTATCATGCTTCTTACTAGCTTAACTGGTGCCACTTACATGTGTAAACCCAATCCAAGTACTAATCCACACAAGCTAAATAAAACTACCCATTACCATAACATAACCATTAACATAACAGCCATAGCAAGAGACGGAACTCGTCGAGACGTCCAGTGCCTACAGAACCTCCATTTGGGAGATATGATAGGCGCATTCCTCCGGCTGTCCAATGACCTATCCACACGTCTGTCAACGAGCATATCACTCGGTCAGCAGCTGCTTTGGCTGTTGTCTCGACAGGTGACAGCGAAGCGTAAGAACTAATTGATAATGTAGCCCGTAACACTGGTGATTTACAGATCCTTCAGAAATCCATTTCAGACCTGCAGGATAAATTTGAAAGTATCACTCCTTTCATCCAACTTTGTGATCCATCACAAGAAATTTGCTTAGATTCACTTCTCAAATCTGAGCGCCTGCTTGACTTTCTGACTGCAGAGGCCGTAAAGAGAGTGATGTCGTCATATAATGTCTTAGGATATAACATACTAGACAATGTCTCTATTGTCAAACTTATTGCGGTCTGTATACAGGCGTGCAACATTTCACTATCCGACTGTCAGGTTCTGCGTCTTCTTTAGAAATCTGCAAACCACCCATGCCCTGTACTCTTCAAATTTAAATCTGTTGACCCAGTTAAGAAATTTACGGAGTCTGGTAAGATTCTCGGCTCCTCAACACCCTACACCAATATCAGGATTATATCTGATTTAACTTCTTGCCAAAGACGATGCCGCGCAGGTAAACTAAATGAAGATAACCCCAATTAGACAGCCGTTGTTAATACTTCCCTCGTTGGATTGCTTAATGACCAAGAGCACCAGGTAATATCGCATGCACAAACTGATTGTAGTAAAGTAACTTTTCAAGACTCAGTTCTAAATACTGAAATCGCAGACATAGAAATGTCAGCAGATCATAGTATTGACGTGCATCCCTTGCACACTGCCACGAATGCCATGCCCTCGAAAACGTCTAAGCTGAATTCAGTCGTATACTCTGAATCTCTTCAGAAGTCATATACCGCACAACCTCGTAGCCCGGCTACTGTGAAGCAGCAATCATATGTGGCCACCCAGGTTGGCGTAAATTCAAGGCGATATGATAAACGTCCTATTTCCGTAAGGAACACAAAAAGAACTGTTGAGACTATTCAATAGAAATCCAGTTTGTCAGGTAATCTTGCTAGTCACCAGCAGCCCAAATTACACAAGCCGACTAATACGGAAACACCTAAGCCAAACGCTAGATCCGGAACACTAAAGCCCACAAGTACGAAAGTTTCAATAAGGTCAGGGGCTCATTCTACAGATGGACAGTCATCTAAACTTAGTCATGTTCCTCAAGTGAGAAACAATCCACCTACCATAGGAGCTTACTCATTTCTGGGTGAGTGCTTTGCCGCCATGTGATTGAACGCTATTTCAGGAAGAGAAGAAAATTCTGCGCAGCAGCGAAATGGTATAAAATGCAATTATGAATAACACATTATTGGCAGTATATTTAAAAGATAAATACAAGAAAAAGCTATATAGTACTTAAGATTAAAGTATTCATTTGCAATGTTTGATGCTTACCATATTGGTCTAATCATGGAAACTTTGATGTTTTCGATGAAGATATAGCTTTTTTCAAACATTGATGCTGTTGTGTTCTTAATCAAAGCAACCAGACTTTGGGCAAGCAACAAATATGAACAAAGAGAAAGTTTTAGCTTTAATAAAGGCCTAGGTAGTTAAGATAAAGTAGAGTATAATAGTGCGCAAATAAAAAGATTATCGTGAGGTAGATAAGTGATACTTCAGTGGGAAGTGAATTTAAAGATCTGGAAGAATAGACCCGTAGGACAAGCTGACCTGTGAGATGTCTCACGGATTTCTGCAGGACCCATGTGTTAGCATCTTGACAAAGAGCTGAACAGGCTTTCAGATGATGGGAACAAAAGCATTTTTAATAATTTAGAGCTGTACAAACCTTGTTTTTTCTTTTTTAAGGATCCAGACTAATGTTTAATCCCCGAGCTGTCAAAAAATTATGTTGCTGTCCTACAGATCGGAGCGATTCACATTTGTGACCACTGCCATATCTGCTAATCAGCATGCTCCACCCTCCCTCCTTTTTTGATTTTAAGCTCTGAGACGTTTTCGGCAAAAACTATTGTTGCAGCATTGCACTGCTTTGAGCCCGTCCCAGCCATACAGTATGCTGCACATTAATGACTCTCATGACAAGCGCTTCCGATAAGGTCACCAGGTACATCAATACCAGAGGATATTCTTTTCAGTGTCATCTTCATACATGCATACATGTATATGATTATTTGTTGCAAACGACTAGGAAATTGAGTTTACTTCAAGAAGGACAATCAGAAGGACACCTAAATGTATACTTCAGAAAAACAGTGGTTATTATTAAGCCCTCGCTTTTCTTCTACATAGTTCACGCACTTTGACTTTTGTGTTTAACTTTTATTCAACCTACATAAGTAGGTAAAATTATCACCTTTTTCACTTAAACTAATTTTTTTCGCAAGAAAGACTAGAATTCCATTGCTAAAACCTCAGGGGGAAATAATATTTTTTAATGGAAAAAAAACAATAAAAAATGGTGAACCCCATGTTTGTTATGTATATTTTGAATTATTAACACCTATTATATACTCCTGCACCTCTCTGGCTGTTTTCTTGTGTCTTCTTCTCTTTTCAAAGGTACTGCCTTAAACGAAGGCACTGAAACAGTGCCGCAATCCTCAACTGATTCGGAATATCACTAGCCCACCTGGTTAATAACGGAACCACCTCTATCATGAAATCTGCTGACAAGTTCAAAGTTTGTCTCATATACAACTGGAAATGTCACAATTATGGTGTACTTACCGGTGACTTTGAAGTTTTATGGACTTTCAAACACTTTATGAATCATTTACTTACAATCATTGTTCATCCTGCATCTCTTATATTTCACGTCAGCGCCTATACAAAAATGCTACTTACCTTCCACAATTAACGTAATCGTTTATAATTCCCGCGTGAAATTGACATACCATATTTTTTTCAATTACAGTTCTGATTTGATGCTATATCTCATGAATTATTCAGTTGAAAGCATATCTCGAAAATTACCTATTGCCTTATTTGTACATTTCTTTTTAAATATTTCTCTCAAATTTACCAGTATTCAATCTATTTCTAGATTAACAAATCATATATATTCTATAAGCTCTGATTCGTGCACATATGTTCATGTCTGTAAAAATGGCTGGTTTCCGTTCCAGAAATAAAAATTATTATTATATTTGCCCACGTTATGGATGAGTTACTGTAACAATGTTTCCTAATAACTTTGAAGAGTAGAGACAGGTTGTACTTCACTCTCCTTAACCATGGGGGCTCTAATCTCAGTCGTATACACCTGTCAGCATATTCCACCTGTCGGTCAAACCTCATTATGCGTTTCGTGAGGAAACTCTGGAAACTTCCGACCTTTTTCCAGCCTGCATACCTTAGGTTACTAAATAGGAGAACACAATATTCAAGTTAAGGGCGAATACATGTCTTATATAAGGCTAATCTTGTTTTCCGGATGTAAACATTATGCAGTACAAAGCCAAAAAGTCGTTAACAGTCAAAAGTAACTTTATTTGCATGATCAGAAGAGGTCAAACCTGAGTATGTTATGCCGAGATCTGTGACTGTGTTCAGTCATGTTGAATCTTGCTTCCAACGCTCATATTATCGTACTCATAATCATATACTATCTTGAGATCATTTGCAAAGAGGTACGGCTTTTTCTACCCTATTACAGAGACTACGTCATTTATGAATAATAGGAATAGAATGGGGCTAAGAACACTTCCTTATCAGCTTTGGTGAAGACAGCTGGTGGTTGACTTTGAACAACGGCTCTCTTTATGTGAGAAAGGAATTTATCCATTTGAGAAGCTTTCCAGTTATCCCGTAGGATTGGATTTTTGTTAGGAATCTAATATGTGATACTTTATCAAGGGCTTCGCTGACGTCGAGAAATAATGTCGCCACTAAATGCCCATAATCTATGCATCGTGTAATGTGGTTAAAATAATCTAAGTGGCAAGCAATGCACGACATTCTACTTAAGAAACATGTATTGGGATGGGGATAGTAGATCATTTAAGAGCAAGTACTGAATGATTTGAGTTTTAACTACCTTTTCCACTACACGTGAAACTACAGATGTAATGTTGATGGGGCAGTAGTTGTTAATGTCAGCTAAAGGCCCCCATTTATGGATAGATACAATACAACACTTCTTTCAGCGAGTAGAGTATGTCCCATCGCCTAGTGGAGTGGAGTATAACTTGAGTAGGAGTAAATTCATGCCATTACCATCGTTTTTCAGCAGAATGAAGACATCCAGTCTGGACCAATAGTACTACCAAGCTTAAGACTTGCGGAAGCTTTATCGATCTCTTGTGTGGAGAAAAGTATGTCACTTAGATATTCGTCTCTTTGCGTATAATATATATATACATATATAATATGTTCATAAATCTGTATGTGGAGATCTATTGGAAGCACTCACTAAGAAAGCTAGGGAAATGGAATGTGAGGTACGAACGTGTCTGGAATCAAGCAATATATCTGCTGTAGCCATAGCAATCAAAGCCTAGCATCACAAAAGGAGGGAGGGTGGCGCATGCTGATCAGTAGATACGGTGGTGGACACTAAGTTGAATCGCCCCATTCTGCAGGAACAACAGTATGCAATTTGACGGCTCGAGATTTCTATGAGGGCTTGAATCTTTATCTTGAGAAAGATAAGAATGATCGCCTAGACAGATCATCCTTCTACATTCAAACATATACCATTCGGTCAGGCAACTGAACAGTAATGAGGATTTTACCCCCACAAAACATCAAGATTGCAATGCAAGACCAACGTGTGGAAACCTGCTGGGTACATTTCAAATTACCCCGGCTATGGTACTCGTAAAATTGGGAAAGTTGACTTCGGGAAAGTCTGCAGGTTGTGATGACATCAGACCATCCGTCCTGAAGCAGTGTTCAGAAAGTCTTTGCTAATCCCTAAGTGATATGTTTCAACACTCCTTTGATGTAGGGAAACTTCCATGTGAATGGAAACGAGCCATCCTATCCCCTATCTTCAAGGGTGGTGACCGGCAGAACGCGACCAGTTACAGACCAGTTGCGCTACTCCCAGTGATATCGAAGATATTGGAAAGTCTCATTGACGACCACATGAGAAAATACTTTGACGGGACTAACCAAATCCATGAAGCACAGCACGGTTTCAGGAGGGGAAGATCCTGTGTGACGAATCTTCTACCAGCTTGGAACGATTGGACACTATCCTGTGATGTAAAGGTACCAGTCCGTGTGATCTTTCTCGACTTTGCGAAAGCATTCGACACAGTTCACCATGGTCTGCTCCTTCACAAAATAAGCAAGGCGGGTGTTTCTGGAACACTTCTTGCGTGGCTGAAAGATTACTTAGGGGAGAGAGAATTCTGCACCAAAGTCAACCGCATCCGATCATCCTGGCACACCTCGGCATCAGGGGTTCCTCAGGGTTCTATCTTAGGGCCGTTGATGCTTTTGATTTTTGTCAACGACCTGCCCTGTCAATTGAACTGCTCTGCGCTTCTTTACGCTGACGACGTAAAGATTTTGAGAGCAATAAACTCATCGGAAGACTCCGACAGATTGCAGGCTGACCTGCAAACTCTGGGAGACTGGGCTCTGACTAACGGAATGCCTTTCAACCTAAAGAAGTGCAAAGTAGTGCGACTTCATTCCGGCAGGTCACAGAGTGTAAATTAACCCTTGGTGGCCAGAACTTGAGTTGTGTGCCATCAGAGCACGATCTAGGTCTTATTCTAACAGAAAAGCTAGACACCAGTGTAAATTACACGAGGGACGTCGCCAAAGCTTACGCAACTTTACACTTTATGCATAGGCAGCTGGGAGCTCTTACTCCCGAACTATTCTCAACGTTGTATACGACATACGTGAGGCCACTCCTTGAGGTGCATAATATCATTGCTCCTCCACTACTCAAAAGGGATGCTAAAATTCTAGAAAGTGTTCAGAGACGAACGACAAAATGGGTGATCGGCCTCCGCAACAAATCATATGAGGAAAGACTGAAGAAATTAAGTCTTTTCACACTTAGTTACCGTAGTCACAGGGGAGACCTCATCACCGTCTATAAGATCTTAAATGACCAGGCCCACCCTAATAAAAGCATCCTGCCATTAAGTGATTATAGGCTTCCACTAGGTAACCCGCTAAGGATAGCACACCAGAGACTAAAGACTCGAGTGCGTTCACATTTCTTCTCGCTTCGAGTTTGCCGTCTCTGGAACGCTTTACCGGCGGCCGTAACTACAGCTCCATCTGTGGAGACTTTTAAGCGGAAGCTGGAAAATCATGCAGAAATGCTAGGTTTGTGTCTGAATGGCTTATCCTCTTAAAATTTGAAACCACATTGTCAGTGGATAAGCATACAAGCTAAATCCCCACGACCCGTTCTGTCTTCTCTCACTGTACCGACTACTCTATCTTTTCCTTCGGTCACCTTTATTATTTCGCTTATCTCAACCTATATTATCTACACTACAACCTATTATTATTATTACTACTCTGCTTTTATGACTACACCAAATGACCAACGGGAGTTAGGTCAAACTCCATTCATGGCAGCAGCTGAGTCCTAACATACTGCACACTACAAACCAATCCTCGCACCACTCCTCTTGGAGTCTACCAGAGCTAAAGCAGTCGAGTGGCGGGATTTACTACGCATAAGTTCACCGAAGATCTGGAACCTCTACCTTACAATCAAGAAGCGAGCTCAAAGAAATCACTGGTTTATACTAGCTCGTAATCAGGATATTGGATATTGGAAGTCGGTTTTCCTGAGCAACCTGGAGGACTACTGTTTAATTCAATAATGATACGACATGGGTCAGACAAAGACTGTATATATATATATCAAATATTTAGCTGTTCAAACATCATTAACTTGTAGACAATCTACTTTTTGACATTATATCATACTTGATCGTGCCTGTAAAAATGGCATGCATTTTCATGTAAATTTATGTTTATATGAAAATATAAATTATTATTACTACATGGGATATCCACGACCTGATTGTTCTCCAAGGTGTATAGTCTGGAAAAGTGCTTGCTAAACAGTTCACCTATCACTTCGGTATTCTCATAAGCAGTACCGTCTATGTACATTATTTTCGGATAAGATGTTTTGGAGTTTGTTAACCGACCTTCGAAAAGTTTCGCTATTTCTCCTGGGTTATGAGATGGCTGAATGGCCCGCATTTCTTTGTTTCTGAGGCTAGTATTTTTTAACTGTTTAATTCTAGTGAGAATGAAAGTATTAGCAATTGATGATTATAATTCACGATATCTGTAGCATTTTATTGAGTGCTTTCGTAACTTTAGTCTGTGAATGCGTTCTTCGTCAAAAGACTGAATTTCATAAAATAGCTGACTTAACATTAACCATTCCATGAAGTCAATTTACGACGTGAAAATCAAAAAATTATTATCAAATATCAGACCCTTAGGGCATCCAAACAAATATAAAAGTCATTTCTACACACAAATAGAATTTGTGCGTGTGTTTCTTCGTAATAATTTGTTTTGGACATCAAAAAACGTATGCGAGCAAAACACAGGAAAGTACTGCCTATTTCGACTAATTCTGTTTCTGTTTTTACAAAAATCTATGCTTATAAAAGCTGTATTGGCATGAACACGAAAACTCACACTATGCTCCTTTAGCGCCATCCATTGTAAACTAGTAGAGTTCTCTACCAGAGAACTTCTAATCAAAACATTTTGTCGAGACTAAACATCTAATATTAGACATATTAATAAGATTAATTAGGGTCAACAGTCCAATACCTTTGGTAACCAAAATGCTGAAAAATGTGTACGTCCTCGTCATAAGTATACCGGACTAGATGATGGTATCTTTTGTTTATCCGCTTTCTACATACTTTCCCTTGAGGTGAAATCAGTTCATTTGGTTGCGCTACGTAAACTTTGTTTGGCTACTAGGTTTCTATCTTCCAAATAGCTTAGTATCCGTACAACATTTATGCAGGATTCTCTGTAAGTTACTTGGTCGTAGTGATCATCGATTTTTCGGATAACAGTTTGGGTCCTCTCTTGACCCAGCACGACTTGTTTTAAGTACGGGTTGCTGATGCGTGGTTTGCATTACTTGCCTGTAGTGTTAATCACTTTCACCACTTAAGAACGTATTTCAGTTTATGATTTTTGGGAACAAATCTAAAATTCTGTTCTTGCTGTTAATAGCAATTGTAGGTGCACAAATATTACACTATCATGATATTGTAATATTTAATGAGAATATCTGGTTTGAAGTAGTGACCACTGTGATATTATAGATGCATAATGTGTTTTTTGAATCCTTATTTTACATTTTTTGTTTCTTGGTATATTCCATGTGACCACCAGTATTTGCACTGTGGTCTTATTCGAGTTGAAAAGCGAATTTTTAAATAAAGTACTCTTGGAAATAAACAATAAACTGCTTATCAGAAGTAGTTTAAATGGTTATCAGATTATTTTTAATTGGATGCACACATACTGAATTTAGGTGAATATTCTACAAAATTTTCAGGTTTGCACAAAATCTAACAATATAATCTATTTTTATCTGGTTGGACTCATCGGGACTAAACAGGTATGGAGTTCCTAGGCTGTATAACTATATCCTGTGGGTTTGTCCGTTTCAATTCTCAATTATCGGGAAAGACAGGCGTGTTGGTAGTGATCCCGTATCCTCAGACTAATAAGTTGTTGGTGCCTCTTAACAGCCTGTCTTATGTAACTAATAGAGTGTATTCTGCCTGGTCACTTAGTGATTTAGAGAAATTCTGATATATACCAGTGAAAAATGTAAGAGTAAGGTGTCTTGCTTTATGTACAGGTCTATGGCGAAGTTAAAGTATAACCAAAAGTTGACCTTCATAAACTAATCAGATACGTGAAACACTACGAGATGTCATTCCAAATCAAATCATGCCTGCCGTTTTCGACTCAGAGGGTACATACCGTATTCTAATTATTCTCTAGGTACTCCCCAAGCTTACAACAATTCTTAACTTATTATAACCTATTCTTCGATAATGCCTTTTTATGGTAAATGAAGATTTTATCTACACACTATGTTCTGAAATGACGCTGGTCGTGCTTAAAAAGAAAGCTGGGTGCTGAATTCTGTCTGTCTGTCTGTCTGTTTTCGACAGAGAACTTTGCACTGATGTGCGGCAGTTCAAGTCGCCACACTCCATGTAGCACACAAAGGAGGAGAAGAAAGTAGGAGAAATGCATAATATAGACAGTAAACAGAGGTGTGAGACAAAGGAGTAGTAATAACGAAGAACGAACAGTTTCATCGGAAATCATGTCACAAGGAGTGGATGCATCTGCGCCACTGAGAACGATTTTGAGCCATGTCACCAATTGTTTCCAACCATTGGTTTTTACCATCCTGAGGACCCCAACCAGGAAGTCTACACCTTCCTACGTGACTTAGACTAACTGTTGTGGATTTCATTGACTGAATTTAGTCTTTTCGTTCTGAAGTAACGCTAGTCCGCGCTGAATATGTCCTGTGAGGGTTGAAACAACGCTGATAAGCAAACGCAGTAGGTTCTGATCTACTCCTGAGAATGCCTAGAAAAAGAACACGGTGCTGAATTAGTGCCAGTCATGCTAAAAACCAGCACTGAGTTCTAGTCTATGCCATTAACGAATCCATTTCAGAACAGATTCAGAAGTTACTCACTATAGAACGTGAGAATTATTTCAGAATTAGTGAGATTTAATTTAGCATTATGGTAAGCTTGGGTCTCTCTGCGTATCTATACTGTTTGGTTGGGTTATGGCTTTTAGGATTAAGGTCTAGGGTCTAGAGTTACGGTTAAAATTAGAGTTAGGATTAGGAGCTAAGATTATGGTTAAAGGACAGTGTTGGAGATATCAATGGATCTCAAAGTACCATAACCTACAGCCACCTGAATGAGTGGGTATATCGCTCATGGTACAATTTCTCCATAGATCGTCTGTATTGTAACTGAAAGACATCCTTACAACACGTAAGCAACAAGTATATGGTGTAATGTCATGTTAGCAGTGTTTTCAATGCATTTTTTCAACGGTTATGCAAACCTTTTTGTGTACAAACTCTGATTGGCTGTTCAAGATCACCGAGATTTTGGCTATGATAGTTTAACTTTGCCCAAAATTCACTTTTTTAAAGAATACTACTATTTTAGGTTCGCTCTTAAAACACTTGTGATGAGGGTAAAGTAATTTTTGTATTAGAGAACAGGGTAAGATTTGTTTACTATAGAAGTGTCAGTGTATATTTTTTTGCAAACTGCTTTTTTCATTTTTATAATCAACATTCATAAGTCAACATTTTCACAACAAACGATGTTATTTTCTTGTTATGTATTTTTGCTTGACAGATTAGTACTTTCAGAGTTAAACGGTATAGAGATAACAGTTAGTTCGCAAATAATTTCCCACTAAGTTACCACATTCACTACTTAGTTTTCTCATAATATTTGTTTACATGGAATTTCTGGTTATACTTTCGCATCTTCATTGTTTATTTTCCATCGTCCAGGAAATTGTGGCAATACAAACCATGCAGTATTCCTCTTGGGTTGTCGACAAGTGAGAGTGTACCCAAAAATTGCACTGTTAGAGTTCTAAATTTCATGTATAATCTTTTTGAAACACCTTTCACAGTTATTGATATTAAGGAAGGTATTTATTTTCGTGACTTTTTACCATTTAAAGTTTTTATTACCATTAGACTCCAGCACACCTCTCCGAACACATTACTATCTTCCTCATTAGTAAACATAAGACTTGATTGTATAGTGAGGTCATTTGTGTTATTTAATCTGGTTAACTTTGTATTTTGTAAAATACCATCCTGAGCATTTAATAGAGCAATTTGTGTTGTTTACTTTTTTAAATTTCAGTTCAGATTTTGTCTCCTGCTGGATTTTTCGATTTTACTGTTGTTCCTGATTATTAGGCAGCCCGTTTCAAGTAGTTACCGTTTGCTGGTTCGAAAACGCACGATCGAATGTTGTTTCTTGCTTTATTTATTTTATGTCTGACGGTAAACTCAGGTAAGAACTCAGTACTTACTTGCATTTCACAGATAAGTATATTAAATTTTATCAAGAAAGTTGTATACGTTTGTTTGCATGTTTTGAAAATAAAGAATGGAACTCAGCAATTTGAGAACATGTGAATTGTGAAGTTAACTATTCTTACATTAAGCAAAAAGTAGTCCAATTTTTTCTGTATTTTCCTCATCTGAAGTTGTGCTCATGCAGTAAAATAGGGTGTTGAGTTCTTGTACTAAGTGTTAAAGATTCGATTCTTGTTTTCACTATCAGGTTGTTCGGTCTGGGTCTTGGAAGTCTCAGAATCAATACGATTACGTAGCTCAAAATCATTCACTATGGCTCAGGTGTACTCTGTTGTAACCTCATTTCTGAGCACTTCCACTTAACCCCACCTAATGACTGCTCCTTCTTCTGCGGTCATATTCCTTAACTGAATTATCATTTTTTTTCCTGTTTTTGCTAGTCCGAAGTGTGACAACTTGAACTAATCTGTTTTTTCCAGAAGTAAAATAATGGGTAATTAATCTTCATTTAAGAATACTGCACTATGAATATCTAAAAGCTGAAGGATTTCCTTCATCAGTGGCACATATTGTATACCGCATAGTTTGTTAATAATCTGAGACTTCATTCTCTTAACAACCAAGGCCTGTGTCGTAAATTACAAATTTACTCTTTGTTTGTTGGTTTGGCAAACCTTTTCGAAATTCATAAACTGTGATTACTGTCAGTGTACTCAACACATTAAAAAGAAACATTTTTAATTAAAACAAATGAACATGGACTCTAAGGCTACGTTTAAAAATAGTGTCTGTTGGAAATATTCGCTCGAAAAATTGTCTTTTCTTATCTTACAGCGGCTCTTTTGCAGCCGTAAAGTAGGACAGAGTGGATTTTCGCACCTTACTCTTTTCCAACTGTTTTCGATGTCGAAAGATTTCATTTAGACTAAAGATGCATGGTGGACAATTTTAGTGGAAATAGGCTGGTTGTAGTATACAATGGTCAGTCGGATGAGAACACCATCAAGAGAAAATTCCTTGTGAAAAGTGGACCTTTAAGAACAGAACTACTTGTTTTCTGAGTAGATGATGCTAACTGGAGAAAGTAAGTAGTTAATTTCCCTGTATTTTTCATACATTGAAACACTGAACCAGCATAATTTTCACCACCTCTTTCATTCAGTCTTATTGACATCCAACAGCATCTAATGGGAAACTTGAAAATTGGATGTGTTCACCACATGGGTTACATTGTAACGACGGAAGACAAGCGCCAGGCAACAGATTGTTTATTCAGAAAATCAAGAGATATTTATAGATTTTTATGTGCATTATTATTTGTTATTGTCAGCAGAGAAGCAACATGTTCTGATTGGTTTTTTTCTTGCTGAAGGCTATTCTGTCATCTCTTTGTGGCCGTTTCTTAGAAAGTCAGACCATATATCTGCGAATCGTATTTGCACACGTTAAGTCTACTGTGATTGGTTGGTGAGTTCGTCAAGGTTAAGTTTTGTCATTGTTTTTTCTCATGATCAAGATTCGGGACTTAAACATTGACGTAAATTGTTGTCTACAATTTTGGCTAGCAGACACCTCTCACCACAACACAGTGTCGTATAAACGCAAGAAAAAGTTAGTGTCTTTTAACTGCATGGGTTAATTCTGTGATCCATGGTGTAATGCGTAAATGGCGCCCAACTTTTCTCTTAGTTTATATGTATCCTTGACAGAAGTGAAAGGGCAAGTGTGAACGTCTGGGGCTTACAACCGGACTGGTGGTGGACATGCAGGTCTACCTAGGTAAGCTGGAAAACCCTGGTTCCAAACCTATCGTGAACATTGACTCCAGAATCCGAAAGGATCGGATGGCGTATGAATTCGCTTTAGTGACTGAAAACCATGGGAACTCAGCTCCTGACACTACTGTGCTGCCTTGCTGATCAGACTTCAAACCAGAGACTCGAGATTAGACCCCTTAAGACAACCATCTGCTTCGATCTGGGCGTCCGGGTAGTATTTCAGCGCTGGTAAAACCATATACGACAACAATTTGTGTGTTTTAATAATAATAACATACTTTTTTGCCTTTATTTGATGTAGATTCCACAAAATTCACTTTATCTGTGATTCCGGCCAATCAACCAGTACTTATTGGTCAAAAAGTGATTCTGATATGTCAGGTGCAAGGGATACCATTTCCCATGCAATATGCAGTTTTGTTTAAGCGTAAGGAAAAGCTGATCTCAGAGAAATGTCATGTTTACGAAGAACAAAAATATCATCTTGTCTGTGAACCGAATGATTGGCAAAGAGCACATACTTATGAATTGCATATTAAGTCTGTTTCTTGGGCAGATCGAGGTGATTGGTTATGTATTTATGCAGCAAATATGACTAGACAATCTCTTGAAGTATATGGTAAGCATAAATTTCAGTCATCTTTATCTTTTTGTCACTTTTGATATGGGTCGTAAGGTACTTCGTGATGTCACACTCAGTTGTGCTTCTGTTTCATATATATGCATATAGAGTTAAACAACTTAGTAAGATGACGTATTGTTACTACACTCTTGACTTACCAACGGAAGTAGGTGTTTTAATCCCTTAAACTAGTGTGGGAAATCACAAAACATTCCGTGATGCTCATACTGGCCGTAGTTTGGTTCCTTAAGAAAATATCAGTTTTCATTCTCATATGCTTTAATTCATCAATGTTTTCGCTAACAAATTTCATACCACTAACTTCAGTTACAAATCCCTGGAAAGCAAAAACAATGAACGTGGCAAAATAGTCAGACTTCATGCTTTTTTCCCTCGATTTTCATCATCACTATGAAGTCCTAAACAGCTTTAATATCATGGTGCCTAAAAAATATGCTACACTATTCTTATTCAACTTCAAAATATGTTCATTAATTCAAACCTAGAATGATAAGTTAAACTATGAGAACTTCTCTCGTAAGTTCACACATTCATTAAAAGTAAGTTTTAAAAAATCATTTTAATCACACCTTTTCTAGAATATGATAAAGCTATAAGAAGACGTAATTTGTCAGAATCGTGTGATGCATTTCCGCAACATATTGCGAACAATTTGATCACACACGGACTTGTCATAGGAATATACACATATTAAAATAATAATAATAAAGAGGTGAGAAAATAGACTTAGGTCAAGTTAAAAGAACATATTGAAAGTCAAAATAACAACGAACATCACTAAACCAAATAGGAGAGGTAATAGTATATCTACCCTGGTATCAAAACAAAGTTTACCAAAGAAGGTTTAGTGTGATAACGAATTGTTTTTGAACGCATAAGGGTGATTTAAACTTCCTAATTACTAGGGCTTCCACATACTTTAGGATACACCCCAAACACGTTCTATAGATAGATTTAAAAGACGTGTAAATATCCAACAACAAAAGAGCCTTGGTGCCTCTTCAATAGAATTCAACGAATATTCACCGAAAACCCACTTGATGAAGAGGAAAGAAAGTTGACACAAACAAGTTCATTAGGAGATATAGAGTGGCCAGAACACCAAGACCCACTCTTCAACCCACCACTAAGAAAGACATTCATCAAGCTACCCTATATGGGTAATCATAGCAGCTTCGTAACTCGACAACGGTTGAACGCTGTAGTTAAAAATATTTTTTATGCAGCTAATATCATAATAATTGAGAATGTGAAGCTGATATATCCATCTAAACCCTAAGGGCATGCGAAAAATGATCTCACATCACACTGTATTTGCCAACTTGAATGTATGTGTGGCCACATCTACATAGGGAGGACTCATCGATATCCGCAAGTAAGGGCTGGCTTCAGAAGCAAACTGAATCCCTAGAACCCATTAATAGTCAGAACAGACTACCTAGCACCCTATATTGCGAAACATATTATAGAGACAGGACATCAAATTGATGTTTACACGTCTTTTAAATCTATCTATAGAACGTGTTTGGGGTGTATCCTAAAGTATGTGGAAGCCCTAGTAATTAGGAAGTTTAAATCACCCTTATGCGTTCAAAAACAATTCGTTATCACACTAAACCTTCTTTGGTAAACTTTGTTTTGATACCAGGGTAGATATACTATTACCTCTCCTATTTGGTTTAGTGATGTTCGTTGTTATTTTGACTTTCAATATGTTCTTTTAACTTGACCTAAGTCTATTTTCTCACCTCTTTATTATTATTATTTTAATATGTGTATATTCCTATGACAAGTCCGTGTGTGATCAAATTGTTCGCAATATGTTGCGGAAATGCATCACACGATTCTGTCAAATTACATCTTATTGCTTTGTCTAAATTCATAAAGGGAACTAATTATTTTAAAAAGAATATAAATTAGGAAAGTGGAAGATATTTAATTGTTTCAGTTGAATCGACGGCATACCTCAATGTTTGTTTTGCTTTCAAGTCAGTGTATGACTGTATAAATTGTACTATTGAATGATTGTACTAATTTCTATTTGAGCTGTTGGCCAGTGGCTGTGGTCTGATCGCTTGAGTTATAACCACTGGATCACGGGTTCAAAACCCGCTGCACCTGCTATTCGCACAGCTAGGTAGTATCAGCAGCCCGTCACATTATAAATGTTGCGCATCATTTCCAACCTTATGGTAAATGCAAATGATCGTTTCGTAATATTTCTATTTTCCCATTTAATCTATTAATCTTGTTACTTTTAAAGGTGAAACGTTCCCTTCTTTCTTCGCTATTTGTTTTTAAAACATGCTGTGATGTTAGTGATGATCTACCAGAGTATCTTAGTTAGTAAGCGTGGCTAGAGTTTTAGTACATGTTGAATAAATTTATGTAATGGTATTTTCCTTCACCTGTCTATATCTAAATTGAAGTCATTGACCTCAGTTATAGGCTACGTTGTTCATATTTATCATAATTGTAAAAGATTTTATTTGACTTAATGTTTAGAAAGCGGCGTTATATGACATGTCCATTTTTACAAGCACTTTTAAATGAAATTGTATTTGAAATGGTACAGAAAATTTCTAACTCAGGTGAAGTTTTTTTATGTGTTGTCCATATGAAAGTAAATATCCATGCTAAGGTTACTGTAAGTGTGTCTGACCTCGGTAATCAGATGACAACAAATTGAATTTATTATTGCGACATGTAATTTAGCGGCTTAGCTCACCTTTATTCTGAGGGCGTAAACACAGCGGGGAACAATAAACTGATTGTGACGGGTTAATGGTTAGATGTATGTAAGACTGATATTTGTTACATTTCTACCATAATAATAAAATATTCTTGAATACAACTGACTAGAGTCATTGAGCTTTTCACTTTCATTGATAGTCATCACGTCTTTGGATTAGAAAATCGGATAAATTCGTGAGTTATGTAATGTTTAAAGAAAATGAAGACAAAACTGACAATTCTGAAGGCCTAATAGTGGAGAGTAAAGGACAAGAAGTTCAGCAAAGAAATCTCGGTGATTTCATTCTCAAAAGCTGTACAATCGCATTTATATACATAATTCTACAAAGATACAATTATTATTTATTTAATTCCACATAGTTAGGAAGGAGATTAAAGGTGATAATAATTTCCAACTTGATATGAAAGTTTGAATGTGGGAATTACAAAGGGGTTAGAGACAGAACTATGCAGGATGTAAAAATAGTTTTTGACGAATAAAAGTGTGAATGGGATGAGCATGGAAGCAAACTGGAATAATTATATTTTATAGTTGGAAATGAAAAAAATGAAGAGGATGAACAAACAACACCTAAAGAAACAAACAAAACTAGATCCATGGTGAATGTAGAGGTTGGACTAGTTTCTTTTGATGAACACAAAGCTCCGATTTTTCGATGCATATGATGAGGGCTTCTGCAGTAAAAAGAAGTTGGAAACACACTGCATTTAGTAGATTTTCGCTTACTTTGTAAATGACTCTAAATGATGAGTCAATTGAGATGCTGTGATAGGTGTTGAGGCCTAATAGTGATTTTTTACTGTTTTCCAAATATGGTACTTGGTAAGGTCTTACGACCTGTTAAGAGGTATTCTGAATCGGTGTACTTATTAGCGAATTTTATTCAACATCTCATCCAAAGCCACAGTATTCGCACTATTATTATCAGTTGTAAATGCAATAAACAGCATAAAGTCATTTATGCTTTTTTGGTGTTGTTGCGTCTTGCGAGTTAGATGGTTTGTTTGCGAAGTTTTCGTTGTCCTTTTAGACTTCTTCAGTGCCAGCTTCAATATAAGAGAGGTGGGTTAGTTAGATACCCACTAGGAGGTAGTATTATTGTAACGGAAGAAGACAAGAGACTTGGTAAAGGAATGTTATTTCGAAATTTGGTATCTCTATATTGTGAAATTATTTACACCTTATCTTAAAATCTTCATTTGCTCAGATCTTCCATGTTGTGCTACTTCTGTCCTTCATATTGTGTTTCTTTGTGTTCCTTTCATTTCTCCCATGTATCTCTGCAACACTGTATCATTTGCTTTCTCTGACATCAAATCTATCTCCCTGCTCTCTGATGTTTTTTGTCGATGAGCGCCTCTTTATATACTACAGATAAATCGTATCAGTAGCACACGCCATAGTATTAGTTACTGGTCATACTTAACTAGGTAAAATATATATCTTCATTCACAGCAGATACTCGTCAGAAAATCTTTTATCTATAGTCATTCCATATTAGACTAGTTTATTTCAAATATCACACAGTGATTCAGTTTAAATAACTAGATGATGTTTTGAGCACAAACTACTGCTCATAATCATATCGATTTGGTCATATTAAAATGTTTATCTCATTTAAAAAACAGAATTATGCCATAAAATTTTGAGCATTTATGAGTTGAAAATTTTAATCCTAATTCTTGGTAGAAAAGACAGGCTGAGTAGGGGAATATTTATGTCTGTTTGTCGTCTTGTCTACTTACTTGCATAAGCTAACTGTGGTGGGTTAATTAATAATAATCCCAAGTTACTCATCCAATTAGTCGGTGGTAATCGAGAAATTACTATGAGTGGGATTGCAAGAAACCAAGTGGACTACAGATGTGCTTCTGAGACCACATATCCCACAGGAGAAGCAAGAAATGAGTAATAATAGTTATATAAGAGGTCGCATGGGTTTCTTCTGGATATGGATGGATTGTTCAAGATGATGAATCTTAGCAGGTGTTTTTGTCTAATAGACGGATAGGGACATCATGGCTTATGTTTTCTGTGTCAGTATGCCTATGATTTATTAATATCCTTAAAGTATTTTCTATAGTTTGGTTCTCTAGCTGATATCAATCCGTGATCAACTCGTCCTGAAATTAATTGATTTTGTTACAATATGGTTACCACTTCAACAAAATTTCATCTAAATAGAAGTATAAAGGAAATAGGCAGGCGTGTGTGTTAAGTG